CGGCTGTGGAAAGGGCCCGCGGCGTCTGCGCGCGAGCCCCAGACTCGGCTTTCAAGACGACGGGGCGTTGGCGTCCTGCGGGCGTGGAGGGCGTCCGGGCTTCACGCGGCGACGCGTGGCCAGGGCCGGCCTGGGGGCGTGGGTGCCGCCGTGCCTTTGTCGGTTTAAGAAAACCAGGCCCGAGGGGCTCGCATCACTCGGCCGGTGCCTGCCTGGTAACAGGCTGCGGCGTTGGGCCGCAGGCTCGCGTCTTCGAGGTCGGTGCTGATTTTCTGGTGACTGCGTTTTCTGATGACTGGACGAAGTCTTGCAGGGCTAGTGGCGTCATCCCCACGGTAGGACAGCGATACAGCTCAGAACTTAAAAATCCGTTCCAAGGGATGAGTGGCTTAGTAAGCCGGTAGACGGAACCGCAGGGAAGACTTTCTCACGGTGGGCCCCCCGCTGGCAAGTGCAGGAGGGACAGTGGAAATGGAAAATGCTGTCTATCAGTGGATTCCAGACTTAGTGGGCAAAACTGCGATAGAAGGCACATTCCGGCAGCCCTGACGATGTCGGTGAGATACTTATGAGGGAAAGGTAGCAACATCAGCGGAGAAGTCTGGCGGACGTCACCTTCACCAAGTGGTCAAGATTCGCGTCGCCGGGAGATTATCAACACCGTTTACCTCTTAATTGTCGTACCGTGAGGAATGCACATCATCGCTTCTGTTGTGTTCTTGCCCGAAGTGCATAACCTCAGCGGAATCACAAGAAAATACCAGACAAACCTAAACTGAGCGTCTTTCAACAAAGTGACTGGCCAGTATTTTCAAACAGGGCAGGGTCTTCAGAAGAAGGCCTGAAAGGCTGACCCAGATTAGAGGAGCCCTGACATCCTTGACAGTCTTGGGAAAGTAGCTCACGGCCTTCGGCATCCTGAAATCCCCGTTTGCACGGAGGCTTGCTTCCCCGCCTGCTACTAGCCCGGGACCGAGCGGCAGGCCAGGTCCTGAGACACTCCCTACGGGCCTGGCCGAGCCTTAGACTGCATGGCTGGGCCACCCACCCGGTGTCCGCCTCCTCCATTCGGTGCCAGACTTGCTTCTGAGGTGCTCCTGGCTCTTGCCAGCTCCCTTCCCATTCCCCTGACACCGACCTTTCCCCTAATGAAGTCTTGGCAGCTTTAACCCCGTCTTAGCACCTGCTTCTTGGAGGACCAGAGTTAGGTCCTGATCCAGAATAGACATTAGCGTGACAACGGACAGTATTTGAATAAAGTCTGTAGATTAGTAAAAAGTACTGTGCTAGTGTCAGTTTTCTGGTTTTGGTCGTTGTGCTATTGTTAGGTGAGATGTTGACGTTTGAGGAAGGCGGGGAAAGGGTAAATAGGTATTCTAAGTCCGAAGTTATTTCCAAATAACTTTAAAATGCACAGGAGGAAGCAGTTATTCTATCACATCTTAGGAGCCAAAAATAATAAATGTATGTATGTTTTCCTATAATCCTCTGGCATGAAATAGTGGATACTCAAAAGAATCTGAAAAATTAGCTTTTTTCTTTTTTTTTTTTTGAGTTGGAATCTCACTCTGTCACCCAGACTGGAGTGCAGTGGCCGCTCCTGGCCACCGCAACCTCGACCTGCTGGGCTCCAGCGATCCTTCCGCCTCAGCCTTCCAAGTAGCTGGAACTATAGACGCGCGCTACCACACCTGGCTAATTTTTTGATTTACTGTAGAGATGAGGTCTTGCCAATTTGCCCAGGCGGTTCTCGAACCTGTGGGCTCAGGCAATCCACTCACCTCAGCCTCCCAAAGCGTGGGATTACAGGCTGAGCCACCGAGCCCGGCTGCTGCCCTATTTTAATGTTATATATCTATAGACATTTTTCTTTTTTTAAATTCAGAACCTTCATATGTAAAATACACAGAAATGAAAAGGAAAGTAGTGAATACCGGCATGCTGAGATTGAGTCCAAATGAAGAAGCCTTCATTTTGAAGGAAGATTATGAAAGAAGACGGAAACTAAGATTGCTACAGGTATGATTTATTTGGAATACAGTTTTAATTTTTTGTCGTCCCCAAATTATTTGTGTTTTTTTACACTGGGATGTGCTAAATAAAATGTTGGATTTAAAAGCCTTTGGTGACTGTACAAGGGATCTGGTTCTTGGGCATTAACTTGTTTTGGAACATTTGGAAAATAGACTGAGTTGGTAAATAGATTAGAGAAGAGTTGGCGAGTGGGTATTATTTGACTCAATAAATATTGGAAAATAGTTTCTAAAGTATCATTTTTTAAATGATCTGTAATTGATGACGATGAAAACAAAAAGCTTAGAATGACTCGGAGAAGATCTGTTGTAAAGACTACCAGCTGCTATAATAAACTTGTTAGGAAGTTGTAGGTCATCCTTTTCTAGAAGTCTTTTCAAAGTAAGAACGTGAAGTCTTTGTGAAACATGTTTTAGGTACCATTCCATCTAGAATCAGAGATGATATGCCACAGAAATGGAGCTCTCATCTGGCTCTATCTGCACTGCTCCAGGCTGTAGATGTTGTTGAATCACATTTATGATTTTAACCTTTGAGAGGTTATCAGAGTGTTGGTGGCAGTTCTGCTGGGGCCTCAGGAGGGGGATACAAGCTAATCAGTTAGGGGACTTTAGAAGTAGTCTTGAGATTTTTACTTTTTCTGCATTGCTTGGATTTTTTACTTTTTCTGCATTGCTTGGATTTTCTGCTTTGCATAGTCATTATCTAATATCAGATGAATATACAGGAGAATTGATATTTCATTTGAGTTCCTGTTTCCAAGCAGCTTTTCAGAAAACTTTTAACCTCCTTTCATATAGTCTGTTAAAATATGTGTTCTTCAGGTACGAGAACAAGAAAGAGACTTCGCCTTACAGATTAGAGAAGACATAAAACAGAGGAGAAATCAGCAATTTGCTCATTTGGCAGAGGAGCTAAGGGCAGAATGGGAAGAATCACAAACTCAGAAAATACAGAACTTGGAAAAACTGTATTTGGCAAGTTTAAGACATATGGGAGAGGGACATCGACAGGCCAAAGAAAATGTGAGTCAGTGCTTATTTGACATCAAATAGTGGTAGTAATATTAGTTAAAAGTAAATTGCAGTTGTTGAATGCTTGTATGATAATATTTTCAGGTGGAGCTTGTTTGGGTGAACCTGAGCTTTTTTCTCAATTTGATATTTGAGAATAATAGTAGGTTCATTTCCTAGTAAGAGTCATGCCAAGTAAAATTCATATCAAATAAAATTGATCTTATAATGTTTAAATTAGGATTATTCTCTTCCAGTACTTATCTATCCGGGGAAATAAATTAATAACATTCTGAATAGAGCATCATTGTTCATCTCAGGTATTTTAGACAAATTCAATGGGGAAAATTCCGATTTCTGATTTTATTTCCTTTTTTTTTATTTCCTTTTTTTAAAAAAATTTTTAAAATTTTGAGTCGGTGTCTTACTCTGTCGCATAGTCTAGAGTGCAGTGGCACAATCACAGCTCACCACAGCTTTGACCTACTGTGCTCAGGCCATCCTTCTGCCTCAGTCTCCCAAGTAACTGGAGCAGGTGTGCACCATGCCTGGCTAATTTTTAAATTTTTTGTAGATACGAAGTCTTGCTGTGTGTGTTGTCTAGACTGGTCTCAAACTCCTGGGCTCAAGCAGTCCTCCCACCTTGGCCTTCCAGAGTACTGGAATTCCAGGCGTGAGCCACTATTCCCTGCCCCAATTTCCCATTTCCTGCCTTTCCTCATACCTCTAAAACATGGGTGGTTTGAATGTATATGCAGTTGGATTTCATTCACAAATAGCAAAAATTAGTTGAGAACTTTCAGAAACACAAAGTAGAACTTACCCAGTGTTTAAGACTGCTCTCTGACCTTATTTTATTTTGGCCTTATTTATGATTCATGGTTGGAAAATACTAGTTTATGGTCCCAGAGTCAGCAATAAACAAGCTGATTCCAAAGAAGGCAAATCTTTGCTAATAGCTTGTAAGGGAAAAAAAAAACTTTAAAGAATGGGGTGGTCAGTTTCATGGTCCTTGGTTTTAGTGTGAGTTTTTAGTAATAGCCATAGATTCTGGCCTCAGATTTTTGTAGCTTATTTTGTGCCACCATTAGCTTTGTGCTCAGTGCAGTGTTTCCCACACCCATGTCAATATAATTATACTACCTTCACAGTTTTTGTCCTGACTGGAAAACCACCCATATTGCTATATAGTATAGTAGCCATTTTAATTTAATGGATTCTTTCACTAATTTAACAATATCCTAAGTATTTCTTTTTATTTTAAGTCAGGATTTCACTTTGTCATTCAGGCTGGAGTGCAATGCTACAATCATGGCTCACCACAGTCTTGACCTCCTTAGCTCAGGTGATCCTTTGTCTCAGCCTCCTGGGTAGCTGGGACTACAGGTGCATACCACCATGCCTGGCTTTTTAAAAAAAATTTTTGTAGACACGAGGTCTCGCTTTGTTGCCTAGGCCAGTCTCGAGCTTCTGGACTCAAGCAGTCCTCCTGCCTTAATCTCCCAAAGTGCTGAGATTACAGGCATGAGCCACCACATCCAGCCATGTCCTAAGTAGTTTAATAGTCTATTAATATTTTTGTAATAATGTATTGATTTGGTTACATTATCTTTAAGGTAAAATATTTATATTTGTCCCCTCCTAATATGGCTTATCATCAGCAGTACCATTACCATGTCCTGGAAAACGCTGCTGTAGTATTTAGAAAAAGGATCACAAAATTGATAAGTTACTTCTGATATCATATGAGATGCATTTCTGTTCATCTTGTTTAATGTGACATTTTAAGTAGTATATGTTTTTAGGAACCTGATTTGGATGCTCTGGCACAGCGGGCAGCAGAAAGGAAAAGAAAAGCAAATTTGAGGCATAAAGAAGCCCTGAAAGTACAGAAAAATCAGAAAGAATTATTAATGAAACAAAAAACCTGGTAAAGTAATAATTTTTGCCATAGTCTCAACTGACGTGACTGGAAGTAGAGGTACACAGGATATTGTGTAAGCAGATATTAAATAAAAGTCATATAATATATCTATTGCATTCATTAAGCTTGTTTTAAAAGTAATGCAATGGGGGGGTGATTTGCTTAGATAAAGTAACTAATGAACGTTCTCTTCTAGTTGTGGTTCGAACATGTGAGTTTAACAGCAATTACTACATTTCTGGAGAAATGTATGGCTAGTTCAGAATGCATGTCAACCAAAGTCTATTTGTCTCTGATGGAAAGAAAAAAACCAGTGTGATTAAGGACATTAAAAGAGATTATAATTTCTGGAAGTCATTAGTATATTTTTTGTATTGTAAAATTTAAGTGCCATGTTATTAGTCAGCAGTGGTCATTTTATATAATGACTTATTTTTGTCAATATTTTTTGGTTTTTTTGCTCTAAATTATTCTAAACTAAAAAACATTGAATGTTTTTTGAGTTGGTCCCATTGTAGGGCTTTATGTCTTTAGATATACCTCTTTTTCTTTTTTTTTTTTTTTTTTTTTTTGAGTAGGAGTCTCATTCTGTCACCCAGGCTAGAGTGCAGTGGCATGCTTGTGGCCACCACAGCCTCTACCTTCTGGGCTTAGGTGATCCTTCCAAGTAGCTGGAACTACAGGTGCGTGCCACTATGCCTGGCTAATTTTTTGATTTATTATAGAGACGAGGTCTCGCCAAGTTGCCCAAACTGGTCTTGAACCCTTGGACTCAGGCGATCCTCTCACCTCAGCCTCCCAGAGTGCTGGGATTACAGGCTTGAGCCATCATGCCCAGCCTATACGTCTTTCAATTGGTAAACATTTTCTTACGTGTCTGCTATATATACACTCTTCATTAAGCAGTCCACTGAGCCTGTGGGATCAAACTGCAGGATTTCTTGAGATCCTATGACTTTTACATTTTTAACTGAGAGTTGTAATATTATTACTAAGAAATTAATTGATGTCATCTTTTGTTTTTTAGGCATATAAAAGCTCGAAAGGAAGCATTGCTTGTGGAAAAAGAGAGATCTGCCAAAATTACCAGCCTGCCACCTCCTCCTCCAACTCTTTTTGAGGTGAATTACTATGAATGTTAAGAAAAAGTAGGACATGATCATTCTTTACTATTAGAATTTAATTGCAGTCAAAATAACTATTATTTCTTTTTTTTTGAGTCGAAGTCTCACTCTTGCCCAGACTGGAGTGCAGTGGTGCGCTCACAGCCCACCTCAGCCTCAACCTGCTGGGCTCAAGTGATCTTTCTGTCTCAGCCTTCCAAGTAGCTGTGACTACAGGTCACTCCACCATGCCCAGCTAATTTTTCTTGATTTATTATAGAGATGCCCAGGTTGGTCTCGAACCCGTGGGCTCAGGCAATCCTCTCAGCCTCCAGAAGTACTGGGATTATAGGCGTGGGCCACTGCACCCAGCCAATTCCTTTAAACTTAATTTTTAATCATATAAGAACACTTGAGTATTAGAGTATACTTGGAGTATTTTAAAATAAATTTCGATATCATTTCACCAGTAAATATGTTAGTATGTAGCTGTTATATATAAGGGCCTTTTTTCTTAGTATAATACTGATATTGTTCCCAGTGTCATCTAATGCTCAATATATGTTCAGCCTTGCTCAGTGGTATCACAAGTTTTTGTTTGAAAAACTATAATGATTTTTATTTTTTTAAAAAATGTAGTGTATCTCCACCCCCCCTTTTTAATGCTCTTGGTTTATTGGGGGACAAAAAACTAGGTTATTTGTCCATCGACTTTTCTTTTTTTTGAGTTGAAGTCTCTGTCTGTCACCCAGACTGGAGTGCAGTGACACGCTCACGCCCACCACAACCTCAGCCTGCTGGGCTCAGGTGATCCTTCAGCCTCAGCCTTCCAAGTAGCTGGAACTACAGGTACACACTTCCATGCCCGGCTAACTTTTTTTATTTACTGTAGAGATGAGGTCTTGCCAAGTTGCCCAGGCTGGTCTTGAACCCCTGGGCTTAGGCAATTCTCTCACCTCGGCCTCCCAAAGTGCTGGGATTACAGGGTTGAGCCACTGCACCCAGCTCATCCATTGACTTTTCTATATCCTAGATTTGGCTCACTTTAAATTTAAATAGTCATCATTTTATAGATAAATTAAGATTCAGATAAGTTAATAAATTTGCATAGCATTATAAAGTAATGAAACAAATCTATTTCTTTTGGGGAGTAAAATGTGCACTTTTGTCATTTGGAGCTCTTTTTTTTTTTGAGTTGGAGTCTCACTGTCACCCAGGCTGAAGTGCAGTGGCACACTCATGGCCACCCCAGCATCGACCTGCTGGGCTCCAGCGATCCTTCTGCCTCAGCCTTCCAAGTAGCCGAAACTACAGGCACATGCTACCAAACCCGACTAATTTTTACTTATTGTAGAGACAAGGTCTTGCCAAGTTGCCTGGGCTGATCTCGTACCTGCGGGCTCAGGCAGTCCACTTGGCTTGGCCTCCCAAAGTGCTGGGATTATAGGCTGAACCACTGAGCCCGGCCTGGAGCTCATTTTTTTAAAGAAAAAAATTTTAGTTGACTAAGTAAAGCAGAAATTAATTTTAATTAATTTAATTAATTTCTTAATTGCTTCTCTTATTCACAATAGTTTGTTCGGATTATTGACATGGTTAGCTGGATGACTGTCAAAATTACACAGTTCTTTTTTACTGAAAAATTATGTAGAAGTTAAAAAAAATCACACAAACACAGGGATGTCTAATTCGTTTACTTAGAAGTATATTTTATGTGTAAGCTTAAGTACCCAAAACTCACTTCCTAGGCCTTTTATTTTATCAGCCTTTCTGCTTTTATGTTGAGCCATCTGCCACGTAATATCTGGTCCAACAAGATTAAGATAGAAGGGTCATATTTCAGTCACCTTCTCAGTACAATGTAAGATGATAAAAGGCAGGTAGTATTTTATCCGTTATGCCTTTTGGTTACCTTTGTCATAATTCCTAATATTGATGACAGGCCAAAGCCGAAAACTTAAAAAAGGAAAAAAAAACTATGTAAGTGCTTTGACAAGCATGAATTGTATGTAAAAAAAAGTATGGTTATGGTTTCTTCCCCCAACTTCTTATATCAAAGGTAATTTTCACAATACAGAGAGGTTAGAAGAAGTACCATGAATGCCTGTTTGTGTTATTAAAATAGATAGGTATATGTATGTATAGTTTAATGTAAATTGCAGAGATGACATTTCATCCTAAATACTTCAGCATTTCCTTGTAAGAATAAGGACTTTCTCGAATACAACCAAAATACCATAATTGCACTAAGAAAATTAATATTAATTCCTTAATACCACTTACTATTCAGTTCATAATCAAAATTCTCCAGTTGTCCCTAAAGTTATCTTACAGTTTTTTCTCTTTTTTTAAACCCAGGACCAGTCTAGGTTCACACATTACTTCGATTATTTTGTCTCTTTGGTCTTTCTTAATCTAAAACATTATCTTCTCCAACCCAAGCCAACATTTTTCACATCTTTTGAAAAAACTAGTTTCTCATTCTGTCTTTGTCTTATGTTTCCACATGGTGTCTTCCACTGTGTTTTCATTAAACTGGAATTTAGGTTTAAAAAACTTGATTATATTTAGGCAAGACAGCTATATAGGTGATGCTATATAATTTATTGCAGTGGTTCCCAACCATGTTGGCATCAGAAATCAGTTTCTTGGAAGACAGTTTTTCCACTGACTGGGGGGGCAAGGGTGGTTGGTTTGGGATGATTCAAGTGCATAACATTTATTGTGCACTTTATTTCTATTATTATTACATTGCAATATATAGTGAAATAATTATACAACTCACCATAAAAAAAAAAAAGGGGATGGACGGAAGTGGTAAAACAATGGGTAGGCCACTCACGGACTAAAAAGTGTCAGATTCTGACTTAAAGTCTATCACCAATTGCAACTGTACAATTAAAATACATCAACTCACTTGCCACTCACTAATAGGGCTTTGAGAGGAGTCTACAAGCAATTGATTTATTATGATCTCTATGCAGTCAGACCTCATTGTTAATGTTAATCTGTATTTGCAGCTGCTCCCCACCGCTGCCTCAGCTCCATCTCAGGTCATCAGGCATTCAGTTCTCATAAGGAGCACGCACCCTAGATCCTTTGCATGCACACTTCACAACAGGGTTCATGGTCCCTTGAGAATCTAATGCCACCACTGATCTTACAGAAGATGGAGCTCAGGTGGTCATGTGAGCAATAGGGAGTGGCTGTAAATACAAATGAAGTTTCCTTCGCCCAGTGCTCGCCTGTGTGGTCCAGTTCCTAACAGGCCACTGACTGGTAGTGTGGCCTGGGGGTTGGGGACCCCTGATTTATTGCATCACATCAGGAGGCACGTAATGGGAGGTTGCTTCTCTATTAACGTGCAAAGTTTGATGATTTGGTTATGGGGATGACTACAAGAGATCTCCATCAAAGTGGTCTCTTTTCAATTACCAGGTAATCTATGAGGTGATACTTTGGCACCAAGTGGATATCTATTATTCTCCTAAATTTTTATTCATTGGCCTAGTTCTTTTTTAAAAAGAATGAGAGATTTCTCTCATCAGTGGGCATGAACTCTGGCCTTTTTAAGAGGACAGGATATATTCTTTGTTTTTTACCTCTGCCAATTTTCAGAGTATCAGGTCAATATAATCATCAATGCCATTGGTGGTAAATGAGTTTTTCTTTCTCTTTTGTGAATATTACTGCGGACTTGAGGGTTTTTATTTATTCAGTATTACATAGTCAATTTTAGTCATTTTTCTTCTTGCTGATTTTCCTAATGTCTGAAATTTGATTAGCTGAAGGTTCTTCAAGTTGTTTCTATGTGCCCATTACTCCATGAGCACTTCCTTGCTGTTTGGCCTGGCAGAGGGCTTAAGTGCACAGAGTACTTACTCTGTCCCACATCTGAAATCTGCAAAGAGCCCTGGTCTTTCTTTAGTGGAAAAGTGGTATTTATAAACTAAGGTCTGGGTGGTTTATACATATATATTTATTTATTTTTGTCAGAGTCTCACTCTGTTGGCCAGACTGGAATGCAGTGGCATAGTCACGGCTTCAGCCTCAACCTCCCAGGCTCGGGATCCTTCCACCTCAGCCTCCCAGGTAGCTGGGACTATAGGCATGCGCTATCACACTTGGCTAATTTTTTTTTTTTTGGTAGCGATGCGGCCTCACTATGTTGCCTAAGCTGGTCTTGAACTCCAGGGCTCAAGCAGTCTTCTCTCCTCAGCCTCCCTAAGTGCTGGGATTGTAGGTGTGAGCCACCATGTCTGGCCTAAGCGGCTATGTTCCTACTGGACTAAAAAGCAATGTCTTAGAAAGAGACCCATTGCCCAGGGCAATAAAGGTGTTTGGGATAGAGCAATGTCTCTGAATATTTTGATTTGGTTGTGAATATATGGCAGAGAGGAGAGGGAGAGGATTTTGGTTTGGGAAAGGCTAAATTGTGAGGTCTTGGGAGACCAGGGAAATGTACCATATGAGAGCATTGTGTCATATACACAGGGTATACGCGCATCTAAACATATGAATGCTGAAAAGACTAGGGGAATGAATCTAGACCACTTAGTTTTCTCAAACCAAAATCTTTCTTTAATTAATCCAGCAAAATGACATTATTGTTTGCTTATTTGTTTTGAGTCAGTGTCTCACTGTCACTCGGGCTGGAGTGCAGTGGCGTGCTCATGGCCACTGTAGCCTCGACCTGCTGGGCTCAGGTGATCCTTCCGCCTCAGCCTTCCAAGTAGCTGGAACCACAGGCGCGTGCCACCATGCCCAGCTAATTTTTTGATTTACTGTAGAAATGACGTCTCACCAAGTTGCCCAGTCTGGTCTCAAACCCTTGGACTCAGACAATCCTCTTGCTTCTACTGCCCAAAGTGCTGGAATGACAAGCATGAGCCACCGCACCCGGCTGACATTATTTTTTTGTGTACTAAAATCTTGAGAACTGCTCATGTGGTAAAAAGAATGAACATTTATTGTGCGCTTATTTTTAGGGCTGGGCATGGTGGCTCATGCCTGTAATGCCAGCTCTTTGAGAGGCCCAGGCAGGAGGATTACTTGAAGTCAAGAGTTCAAGACCAGCCTGAGGAGCTTAACCAGACCCACTATCTATTAAAAAAATAAATTGGGTATAATGGTGTATGCCTGTAGTTGTAGTTACTCAGGAAGTTGAGGTGGAAGGATTGCTTGAGCCCAGTAGTTAAGACTGCAGTGAGCTGTGTTCATGTCACTGTACTCTGTCCTGAACAACAAGAGTGTCTCTAAAAAACAAACAAACAGAAACTAAAAGATGTTAGTTGTACTGAACTTTTTATTTATATCTCATTTAATCACCACGTTAGCCTTCCAAGATAGATATTATTCCCATTTCACAAATGAGAAAAATAGAAGGTCAAGAGTTAAGTAATCTAGCAAAAGTCATTTAATAGGTAAGTGAGAGAACCTGAGTCTATATCAAGGTCTGTCTAATTCTGTAAAGCTCGTGATCTTTTTACTGTGACATTTAGCTTTCAATGAATCTACTTCAGGGTTCACTCTCATGCTCATGGTCACTGTAGCCTCCACCTGCTGGGCTCAGGCGATCCTTCCGCCCCAGCCTTCCAGGTAGCTGGAACCACAGGCGTGTGCCACCACACCCAGCTATTTTTTTATTTATTGGAGAAATGAGGTCTCCCCAAGTTGCCCAGACTGGTCTTGAACCCCTGGACTCATGCAATCCTCTTGCCTCGCCTCCCAAAGTGCTGGGATGACAGCCATGACAGGAAACCTAATCTTTTCATAGTACTGTTAAATTTGTATTGAAAACCCTGAGATGCTATAAAGACATGTATCTGACATCTTATGGAGTATTTTATACATTGAAAAAACATATTACTGTATCTTTTTTTTTTTTTTGCAACTACCTTCAGAGATAGTTGACCAGATCCAGAAGAAAAATCTGCTTTGTTTTATTTATAGTTATGAGACTTCTTTCTTCCTTGGCTATATGTTTTTTTGAATTTAAGAGACACTGTCTTGCTATGCATGTTGCCTAGGCTGGAGTGCAGTGGGTATTCATCAGCAAAATCATAGCACACTGCAGCCTTGAACTCCTGGGCTCCTGCCTCAGCCTCCTCACTAGGTGGGACTGTAGGCTCATGTCACCACTATTGGCCTTTTTTTTATTTTTCTTTTCTTTGGTTGCATGAGTCAGTCTCAGTCACAATAGAGTGTTTGTTTTGTCCTGTACCTAGGTTGATAAGACTAGAAATAGTTACTGTGGAGCAAAACTAAGACTGGAAGATAGAAAGAACATAGGAAATCAACTGAATGATTTTAAGTCATTAACATTTCATTCTTAACTCCTACCCTAAGGACTGATATGGCTAAATATTTAAGTGCAGTTCACTAGAATTCATGTTATATTTGCTAAAGATCCGTGGTTTAAATCTCAAATTGTGATCCTAATTTTGGGGGGATTACAAATTCAAACTGAATATAATTGCCTTTATTCTGGAAGTACTGTTACTTTAAAGTTGTATGTAAATTGAATCACATTTTTATATCAGATTACACAATTTTTAGAGATTTATTTTCTTCAGAGTTCTTTTTTTTTTTTTTTTAAGTTGGAGTCACTCTGACGCATAGGCTGGAGTACAGGGACACACTCATGGCCACCCTAGCGTCAACCTACTGGGCTCTGGCAGTCCTTCTGCCTCAGCCTTCCAAGTAGCTGGAACCACAAGCGTGCACTACCACCCCCGGCTAATTTTTTATTTACCGTAGAGACGAGGTCTCACCAAGTTGGCCAGACTGATCTCAAACCCGCAGGCTCAGGCAGTCTACTCACCTTAGCCTCCCAAAGTGTTGGGATTACAGGCAGAGCCACCGAGCCTGGCCTTCTTCAGAGTTCTTAACATCCCTCTCAAGAAGGCTATGGGTTATTTTTAAAGGCATTAATTTAAAAACTACTAAAATTCTTTTGTAGAATGAAGCAATCATATCTAATGTGTATTACCATCTGGATTTTTGTTTTGTGTCTTCAGTCTTACTGAACTTTAATATTAACTAGTTAAAACCGGGCATGATGGCACACGCCTGTAGTCCCAGCTGCGTGGGAGGCTGAGACAACAAGATAGATTGAGCCCAGGAGTTCAAGACCAGTCTGGGCAGCATACCGAGACCCTATCTCAAAAAAAAAAAAAAAATCACACACACACATATACTAGTTAAAATTTTCATTATTGGGAAAAAAAGTCCTTTGTAGTTATATCCTTTACCTCAATTATAAGACCCTGAGTAAGGTACCCATCTAGATATGTTTCCAGGCACTGACCATTGAGTATCTTCCAGCTGGTCTAGATAGTTCTCAACTTTGGCTGTACATTTGTCACCTGGGGGGCCTTTTAAAAATGCGAGTGCTGGGCTCTGTTCCCAAAGATTCTGTTTTTTAATTGGCTTGGTGTGGGATCAAGACAGCAGTTTTTTAAAACTACTCAGATAACTCTGTCCTTGTTAGACTGTTCTTTTTCTTTTTTGAGTCAGTTTCACTGTCGCACAGGCTGGAGTGCAGTGGCACAATCCCAGCTCACGACAGTCTTGCCCTCCTGGGCTTGGGTGATCAATCGCCTCAGCCTCCTGAGTAGCACAGGCACGCACCACCACTACTGGATAATACTTGATTTTTTTTTCTTTTTGAGATGAGATCGCACTATGTTGCCCAGGCTGGTCTGGAACTCCTGGGCTTAAGCAGTCTCCTCACCTTGGCCTCCCTTGGTACTGTGATTAACGGCATGAGCCACTTTGCCCAGTGTCAAGTATTCATTTTTACTTGGTTTTCTTTAATCCCACCTTCATGCTTTTTATATTGTTTTCTCTTTTTCCTTGAGTCCTTCTCATCGTTCCACAGTCATACATGTTACAGCTAAATCTTTGATGAAAGTTTTAGGACCAAAACTTAAAATACATCATTAAGCATTGAGAAAAGAAGAAAGGCTAGGGTGAACTACAATAGAATTCTTGTGACTAAAAATGGAATAGGACATAATAATGCATGTTAATTTTCCTATACAAATAGTGAAATGCTTTTAATTTGATTTGATACATTTAGAAGATTTAAAGGTGAAATGTCTCTAAATAAGAAATTGAGATGAATAGAAGACATTGATTAGTTAAAGGTACCTGGAAAATGTTTTGAAGTACTAGTGAATCTTGTTCTTTTATTAAAATTTGAAATAATCAAACAGTGGAGGGTGGAAAATATTTATTTTATTGTGAGCAGATTTTTAGTGTATCTCAGATGAGGAGACCTGATTAAAATACAAAATTACTTTTTTGTGTTGGATTTAGCTTTAAATGAAAATTAATGCTTTTAACCTATTTTTTATGTTCCACTTTCCAGAACATTGGAGTAAAAAGAATTTCTGCAGAGAAAACCAATAGTTCTACCTATCATCACCTTTACACTTTTGTGAATAGAGAGATGGAAACAAAGCAGGTGATTGACTTGTTTGTTCATGCCTTCACTTTATTTCTAGTTCATTGAATTGAATTATATCTTGGTTATCTTTATGATGTTGCCAATTATCAAAATTTGAACATTTCTAACTATCCTGCAGTAATAGTGATAAAAAAATCTTTCAAATATGCTTTGAATTTTCTTGTAAGGTTTATGATGGTTTAATATGAATGAAAGAAAGTAGTTGGGTATTTTAATGACTATGTTTTAAAATAGCAGATTTTTCAACTTTTTATCATAAAAAACATGCTGTTTGTGAAAAATTTGGAAGTATACACATAATCATAACTATTGGAAAAACACCAATGCTTTTATCACCAAAGAGTATTTGGGTAATATTTTAATGAATTCATCATCGCCTTTATTTACATATAAACATATTTCAAAATATTATTTTATTTATTTATTTATTTTATTTGGAGTCTCACTCTCTCGCCCAGGCTGGAGTACAGTGACACACTCACAACCACCCTAGTGTCGACCTGCTGGACTCTGAATTACAGGTGCGCGCTACCATGCCCGGCTAATTTTTTTTTTGAGTTGGAGTCTCACTCTTGTTGTCCACGCTGGAGTGTAGTGGCATGCTCACTGCTACCGCACCCTCTACGTGCTGAGCTTAGGCTATCCTTCCGCCTCAGCCTTCCAAGTAGCTAGAACTACACATGCATGCCACCACGTCCAGCTAGTATTTTTGTGATTTATTGTAAAAACGAAGTCTCACCAAGTTGTCCGGGCTGGTCTCAAACCTATGGGCTCAGGTAATCCACTCGCCTCGGCCTCCCAAAGTGCTAGAATTACAGGTGGAGCCACCGAGCCTGGCCTGAAACATTATTTTTAATAGGTACTTTATATTTTGTATAACTTATTTAATCATTGTTTTAGTTTTTGCTCCTATGAGTAATGCAAACGTAATAATCTTGTACATTTTTATCCACATCTCTTATTGTATATAGACTCCTAGAAGAGATTATTGGCTCTAAACTGTGTAACATTTTATACAGATCATTAAATTGCTTTGTTTTGGTTTGTTTTTGAGTCATGGTGTTACTCTGCTGCCCAGACTGTAGAGCAGTGACACAATCATGGCTCACTGCAGCCTGAAACTTCTGGGCTCAGGCGATTCTCCCTCCTCAGCCTCCCTGAGTAGCTGGGTCCAAAGATGTGTGCCACCACACCTGGCTAGTTCTTTTAGTTTTTTGTAGAGACAAGTTCTTGCTTTGTTACCCAGGCTGGTCTTGAACCTCTGGGCTCAAGCATTCCTCCCGCCTTGGCCACCCAAAGTGCTAGAATTACAGACATGAACCACTGCCCCCAGCCTAAATTTCCCTTTAAAAAACATCAGCAACATATGACAATCACCACCTTACTGTGCTCTTGTCTGCATAGAATACTGTGGCTTAAAGATTATTGGCAGTCTTGCCAGGCAAGGTGGCAAATGCATGTAATCCCAGCACTTTAGGAGGCTGAAGTGGGAAGATCACTTGAGCCCAAGAGTTCTAGACTAGCCTAGGCAACATAGTGAGACCTCATCTCTACAAAAAAAAACATTAAAAAATTGGCCGAACTCATGGATCAGCCTGTAATCCCGCGCTTTGGGAGGCCGAGGTGAGTGAATTGCCTGAGCCTGCGGGTTCGAGACCCGCATACGCAATTTGGCGAGACCTCATCTCTACAACAAATCAAAAAAATTAGCCGGGCGTGGTCGTGCGTGCCTGTAGTTCACTACTTGGAAGGCTGAGGTGGAAGGATCGCTGGAGCTCAGCAGGTCGAGGCTGCAGTGGCCGGGAGCGTGCCACTGCACTCCAGTCTGGGCGACAGAGTGAGACTCCAACTCAAAAAAAAAAAAAAAAAAATTAGTTGAGCATAGTCACGCATGCCCGAATTCCCAGCTATTCAGTAGGCTGATGTGTGAGGATCCCTTGAGCCCAGGAGTTTGAGGCTGTGGTGAGCCGTGATTGTGCCCTGTACTCTAGCCTAGGTGACAAAGTGAAACCCTGATTCAAAAAACCCCCACAAAAACAAAAAACAACAACAACAAGGGTTATTGCCAATCTTAAGAGTAACAAATGATATATTCTTGTTTTTATTACATTACTATTTCCTTGTGACAGTTTGAATTTTTTTATATTGGGTATATTTTGCTACTAGGAAAATTAACTTTGTTATTATAGCATTCATATGGAATTTAAAATGCAACAAATATACATTTTGGTTGACAGCTTAATGGCAGGCATTAAAATCAATACTCAGTTAAGACCTAAAATGAATATCATGAAATGAACTCCTAAGATACAAGAATAAATCAAAGATGCATTTAAAATTGTAAACCATTATTATAATTTCAACGTTATTGTTATATAGAAACAATAACTTCATATAGAAATAACTTTATATAGAAACAATAACTTCAGTCTCTTGCCAATTTGCTTTTGTGGTTACTATACTTTATTAAATAGATGTTTTCTTTCAACTGAAACTAATGGAGAAATTTGTTTGCCTCACTCCGGCAGCATAGGGTCCTGCTGATGGTTTTAAGTTAAGTCATTAAGCTTTCTTTTTTTGATAGTATCTAGAAACCTACCTCTTCTTCAATTTCTAGCCTTGAAGATTGGATTAGCAGTTTGATGAAAGTGGTTCTACAAACTAAAGCTTAGTATACTGATTGAAAAAGTTTTCTGAATATTTAGAAACGGATTTATGATTCTACACATTTTTTATTCTAATATTTTCTTTTATTTGCTGCTTCATCACTTAGGAAAAATCTGTCCCTAGACCTTGGATTTAAAATGTGATGAGCAATGTGCTTGACTTTCACGATAAAATTATCTCTGAATTTTTCTCTGTACTCAGCTTATATCAGTGCACAATAATTTAATATCTTCCCTGGAGTAGAATAATATGATCTTTACAGCAGATATAATGTAAATATTTGCATTCTTGACATATATGTTTGGGTAGTTTTCTTCATCAGCTTTCTGCAAATAAACTGCTTTCATTTGTTCAGTCAGCCTTTTTAACACCTAAGAGCTTTTGCTGTGTTTTTTTAAATATCTTAATTAAGTAATTCCAAAATCACTTGTATGTCATAACGTTTCTCTTTGGCTGACAACGGATGATGAAAGAGGCCTGCTATCATCCTACTTAGAGCCAGTAATTCTCTGCATCATGTTTTGCAACATTCACTTTCCGCACACACACCTAAACAAAGCATCATATGCTTGAAAGTCCTACATTACTCATGACGTTCGTCGTGTCAGTCAAGTCCTTGTTCCTTTGTCAGTCAGTGACCATGACTTAGCACTTTTTTTTTTTTTTGAGTTGTCTCTACAATAAATCAAAAAATTAGCTGGGTGTGGTGGCATGTGCCTATAGTTCCAGCTACTTGGAAGGCTGAGGCAGGATTGCCTGAGCCCAGCAGGTCAAGGCTACGGTGGCTGGGAGTGTGCCACTGCCTTCCAGCCTGGGTGACAGTGAGACTCCTACCCAAAAAAAAAGGAATAGATTGTTGTCCAAATACCTTGTGTACAGGATGCAGAAGTATATTTAATAACATTTACTCTTTTGTGCACTATAGATTATGTATTATGAAAAAGTTTTCCAAAAAATTTTTTTTGACAGGAATTCATAATTTTTGCAAATTTCACGTTTTATCTTCAAATACTGAAAATAGACTCTAACATTATTTCCACCTAATTTTTGTTTAAAATTTTGGTTACCGTGACACAAATCCATGGAGATTGTCTTCCTAAAGCATTCTTTTTTTTTTTTTTTTTTTTTTTGAGGGGAGTCTCTTCTCACCCAGGCTGGGGTGCAGTGGCATGCTTATAGCCACCACAGCCTCCACCTGCTGGGCTTAGGTGATCCTTCCAAGTAGCTGGAACTACAGATCACGCCACCATGTCCGGCTACATAAAGCATTCTTGTAAAATACTGTTTTAAAGTTTCATCAGTAAGAATAAAATTTGTGGTCCCTAGTTTCTCTCTAACCCTTTATTTTCTTCATATTCTTTATATACTTTATTATATCTAGACTGATATTTATCATGCATGTTGTAAGCTAAAGTTTTTTCTTTCCATAAAATTTGACATTCTGCTTTAATTTATCCCCAAGAAATGTAAAAAATTCTTGTGCTTTCTTGAAAACCTCATGACTTAAATGGATTGAAATATTGTTCTTAAAGGCTATTTTGTTTAATGTTATATGTTGATACACTAAATAATTCTACAGATTACACTGTTGATTTAATCTAACTTTTTTCTTCTGCTTGATGTTACATAAATATTTATTGGCTCAAAGAGGATATAATATCTTTAAATGTGTTTGGCCCATGCACTCTTAATATATTAACTGTCAGTCCTTTCACCTATTTATCTTACTATTTAAGAATTTTTTTGGAAAACTTTTTCGCAACATATAATCTATAGTGTGCAAAGAGTAAATGTTATTAAATATACTTCTGCATTCTGTACACCAGATATTTGGACAACTTTCATGGCCAACATTAATTACTGTTTCAACTGGCTGACAGAATTTCATTACACAAAAAACATAAAAAAATTTTTACTTCTAGTTTCATTTAGAATATTAACCTATGTTTGAAAGTGAATGTTTACATAACAAGTATAAATTCAGGTTATATACCCATTCTTCGTGTGTAAATACTGTTATGTTAATGAGGCATGCTGGCTGACTATACAATAATAAAATGATTGGTTATGCATCAGATCTGGGAAGCCAGAAATTATATTAAAGTAGGCATTTTGGGCTTTCTGAGGCTAAAACCAAGCAGCAGGTGTTGACTATAAACCAGAGACAAATCTTGGTGTTTCCCTAAATTCTGTATATGACCTTAGATGTTTGTTTTTTTTTAGCTACTGACTTTGGGGCTGTCTACCTTTCCACACTCATGTAATGGAATTTTTTTACTTAAAAAAAAATGGAAGAATGTGTTTGGATAAGTATAATCTTATCTGGTTTGAAATCACCCTATAAAATTATACTAACAATTTGATCCTTTTCATAGATACATGCTGTTGATAATTGTGGGCATTCCAAGGTTAACTCTCCTTACTATTTAATTTTATTTAAGTAGAAGACATGATTTTAAAGTTGCTTTGTTTTTTCGTTTTTGTTTGCCTCACACTTTTAAAAATTGTCTTAAAATGTTATTGATTGATTGCTAGCCAGATGCTCATTTGGCTGCTGAAGAAGAAGCTAAACGATTGGAAGAACTACAAAAACAGGCAGCACAAGAGAGAATGGAACAGTTTGAAAAGGCACATGCACGGGGTTTTGAAGCTATGAAAAAGATCCATTTGGCTCAGGTAAGAATTAAATTCTACCTGTGAACATTACTGATTAGTGAATGAACTCAAACAAAGGTGTCAAATATAGTTTCTGATTCACATGATTTTAGGTTTCTCATCGTTCTTTGCTCTCTTGTTTCAAGTTCAGATTGGGCTAAGCTATTCTCACAGTGTATTGCTATTCTAAAAATTTTGCTAATGAATTTATCGAAAGTTTAATATCTAGGCTGGGCACAGTGACTTATGCCTGTCATCCCAGTACTTTGGAAGGCTGAGGCAGGAGGATTGCTTGAGTTCATGAGTTCAAGACCAGCCTAGGCAATATAGCAAGATCTTGTCTGTGATTATTAAAATTAAAAAAAGAAAATATTTAGCCAGGTGCAGTGACTCACACCTGTAATCCCAGCACTTTGGGAGGAGGAGGCAAGAGTAATACCTGAGCCCAGGGGTTTGAGACTAGCCTGGGCAACATGGTGAGACCTCGGTTCTACAGTAAATAAAAAATTTAGCTGGGCATGATGGCGTGTGCCTGTGGTTTCAGCTACTTGGGAGGCTGAGGCAGAAGGATCGCCTGAGCCCATTAGGTTGTGGCTGAGGTAGCCGTGAGCGTGTCACTGCACTCCAGCCTGGGTGACAGAGTGAGACTCTGGCTCAAAAAAAATTTTTTAAACATAAAAAAATATATATTTTAAAAAATGATATTGATATAAGAGACTTTTTAAAAGAATTAATATCTTATTAATTCCAGAATAGCCTGAGAAGAACTGTGTGTGTGTGTGTGTGTGTGTGTGTGTGTTTGTGTGTATTTCACTCTGTCACCCCAGGCCACCAGGCTGAAGAACAGTGGTGTGCTCATGGCTACCACAGCCTTGACCTGCCAGACTCAGGTGATCCTTCCATCTCAGCCTTCCATCCTGAGAATAACTTAATCATTTTTCTAATTTAAGTATTTAAATTGCATTTGTGCTTTATAAATTTGAGGATTCAATTCACTAGATATATATTGAGCAAAACACTTTTTACCATCAGAGAATATTGATTCAAAGGTAAAGTCATGATTCTTGCCATCTGGAGCTTATAAAAAGTGAGTGTCAGTCAGGTGCCATGGCTCATGCCTATAATCCCAGCACTTTGGGAGACTGAGGCGGGAAGATCACTTGAGCCCAGGAATTCGATACCAACCTGGGCAACATAGCAAGACCATGTCTCTACAAAAAATTTTAAAAATTAGCTGGGCATGGTGGTGCATGCCTGTAGTCCCAGCTACTTACTTGGGAGAGTCACTTGAGCCCAGAGGTGTGAGCCATGATTATGCCACTTTTCTGCAGCCAGGGCAACAGAGTGAGATCCCAACTCCAAAAAAATAAAAAGTGATTGTCGTAGATCTGTAAAATATGTATAATGAAATCTGACTTTATGGTATGGTTTTAGCTGTATTACTGCCATGCTTATTGTTCATTTAGTGCTTGTTCTTGAAACAGCATAAAAAGGATTCAATCTCTTAGAAGTTTGATTTTATGCATTTGGATGTTTTAAACACTCACCTTAGGCATGAGTTTTTCAGTATATCTTATGACAATTTTTTTTTGAGTTGGAGTCTCACTGTGTCACCCAGACTGGAGTGCAGTGGCCACCTCCGGCCGCCACAGCCTCAACCTGCTGGGCTCCGGCGATCCTTCCACCTCAGCCTTCCAAGTAGCTGGAACTATAGGTGCGCGCTACCACGCCCGGCTAATTTTTTATTTATTGTAGAGATGAGGTCTCGCCAAGTTGCCCAGGCGGGTCACAAATCCGCGGGCTCAGGCAATCCACTCACCTCGGCCTCCCACAGTGCTAGGATTACAGGCTGAGACACCGAACCCAGCCATCTTATGACAATTTTTATAGTTTGAACCAAATCATGAGCTTCTCCTTTAAATTTTTAGCTTTTACAAATTGAGGGGTAAATTATGACAAAAATAACTGAATTATTGTAGATTCTCGTCTAAGGCTTAAACCTATAGAAAAACACATATGAAAACAAGTCATAAATTAAACAGGTTATTTCATAGAAGCTATAGGTTTTAGTGGTTAAGAGAGTGGGCCCTGCAGTCATTCTGCTTGTACTTACCTCTCTTCACTAATCTGCTGTTTGATCTCAGGCAAATCATCATCTGTTCTGTGAGATTAAATGAGTTTAATAAAGTCCTTTGAAATGTGCCTGGTAGTGGTCATTGTTATAAGTAACCCAAGTAGAATGATATGTAAAGCTTTCTGCAAGCTAGAATCATATACTTACAGGGAAGACCCAAAAACATTTATTATAGAATTTATTTATAAAAAATTGTGTATTACATGTTTAAACTTCAGTCACCTTCAAAGTACTCTCTGTATGATGCAATGTATCTATCAAGACACTTTTTCCACTGCTCAAAACAGTTTTTGAACTCGTCAGTTTTGATGCCTTTTAGCGCTTCTGCCGTTTTGCTGTGTCACCTCTTTCACATGGCAAAACGTTTCTGTTTGAGGACTTTTTTCATCCAGGAAAACAAAAAAACGTTGTTTGGGGGGAGATCAGGTGAATAGGGAGGATGGAGTAAGGGGGGGTGTCTTGCTGTTTGGGGTCAAAAACTGCTGAACACTCAGCATAGTGTGGGCAAATACGTTGTCATGGTAGAAGAACCAGTCACCGGTTTGCCACAACTCATGAGATTTCTTCCACCAATTATGATGCAACCTTCTCAAAACTTCCAGATAAAAACTTTGGTTGACCATTTGATCTGGAGGAACAAATTTGAGTGTACTATAAGGGACCTGCCTTCCAAAAGATAATACAGGTTTTTGGGAGAGGTCTCCTCTAGTATTCAGATAACTTTGAAGTTAATTTAGTGGGGTGATTAGAATTTTAATATAAATGAAAAAATACTTTATTTATAATTTATTTCTTTTGCAGCGCATGGCAAAAAAGATTCATCCTCAAAGGAAGAAATATTTAAAACTTTACAAAAATATAAGTAATGTGTATATGTTATCACTTGACAAACACTTTCTTTATACCGGCTTTCTCCACTGTATTGTGGACATACTGTCCCTTACATTAGGATGGTGGTTTACAAGTCACGCAGTCTCACTGCTAATAGTGAGATTTCTCTGTGTTAACCCTTTTGATACAGACCGTATTGTGACCTGGGCCCTGGTTTTCTGCTAGCATTTGTGGTAACTATTATTTGGCCTCTACTTGCTTCTCTTTTTTTCTTGATTATCCTTGCATGCCCCAGCTACAATGAACAGTGTACTATTATCCAAATACCTCATGTCTTCATCCCAATACCCTGTGCTACAGTTGTTTTTTCTTACACGTAATAGTTCTGTCTCTCACTTTTGCCTGGCTAAATCACTATCCCAAGGAATGATATGTCTCTCTTATTCCCCCTCCTTATCTTCTAGATAACCTCACTAAAACACTATGCTTAAGCTTTCATTTTAGCCATACTCTTTAGACTTCTAGAAATACATTCAGATCTCTTTTAGTCAAGGATTCATCAGAGTGTGAAGTAACTAGAAATAACCTCTGTTAAACCACAGCCATTCTGGGTCTTGGTGCTTAGACATATGGAGAACTGTAACAGGAGCTGTGGCAACTTATATAGAAAGCAATTTGATGGCTTGCCTCAGAAAGGAAACTTGCAACTGGCAGACACTTTTTTGAAGCTTTACAGCCTAGCCAGTACCACCATCTCATAGCACTCACATAATATTACTTGTTTGTTTATCTCATTGCTAGGCTAGGGTTGAGATCATGTTCCTGGTACTAAACATGGTATATGGCATTCAAAAAATATTTGTAGAATGAATACATTAATGTGCTTTTTAGCTAAACAAGTGGTAGAGCAGGAGAGTAAAGCTTATCCCCTCTTTCTCATGATTTCTCCCATTTCCCCCCCCCACTTTTAATATTGCTGTCCAAAGTTTGTGACTCAGCTATTGGTAATTTTCTTTATTCTTGAAGAATCAAGAGAAACTACTGAGAGAACTCAAACAGCTACAACAAGAGGACCTGGTGCGTCGGCGACAGATTGTAGCACAAATGCCACCACGACTAGTTGAACTTCCATACAGACGCAGTGAAATGAAAGAAGACTGGCAGAGAGAGTTGGAATTTGCCTTTGAAGATGTATACAATGCAGATAGGAGTAAGATATTTTCAGCAGACTTTCTTTTTTTTGAGTGGGAGTCTCACTCTGTTGCCCAAACCGGATTGCAGTGGCTGCTTCCAGCCACTGCAGCCTCGACCTGCTGGGCTCTGGCGATCCTTCCACCTCAGCCTTCCAAGTAGCCGGAATTACAGGCACGCGCTACCATGCCCGGCTGATTTTTTGATTTATTGTAGAGATGAGGTCTCACCAAGTTGCCCAGGCAGGTCTCGAGCCCACGGGCTCAGGCAATCCGGGATTACAGGCTGAGTCACCGAGCCCGGATCAGCAGACTTTCAATAGTGCTTTCAGATGTTTTGGTGGGAAAATATATTTGTAATGAAAAAGCAGTTTTATTTTGAAATGAGTTCTCAGTTAGAAAGAGGCTCTCATATTTTAGACCTAGACACTGTAATGGCCTATATATATATATATATATATATATATATATATATATTTTTTTTTTTTTTTTTTCCTGAGTTGGACTCTCACTCTGTCTCCCAGGCTGGAGTGCAGTGGCACACTCAGGGCTACCCCAGGATCGACCTGCTGGGCTCCAATGATCCTTCCACCTCAGCCTTCCAAGTAGCCAGAGCTATAGGCGCGTGCTACCACGCCCGGCTAATTTTTTGGTTTATTGTTGAGATGAGGTCTTGCCAAGTTGCCTGGGCTGGTCTTGAACCCACAGGCAGGCTCAGGCAATCCATTCATCTCGGCCTCCCAAAGTACTGGGATTACAGGCTGAGCCACTGAGCCTGGGTTGGCCTTTAAATTTTTAGGATCAAATTCTTTTTAATCATTTTGGAATGGAAACATGTCTCTGGTTTTTTTTTTTTTGTTGTTAAGAGGTTAAAGGAAACCTGATTTTGCACCTTGAACCAGCGCCTTTGCCCACTGTGACCGATGAGATCCAAGATGAAGAACTGGACCTGTCAATGGACCAAGAGAATGTAGGTGAAGCTGAAAATCATCCAGTGACAGAAGCTGAAATAATATCTTCTAGTGAAACAGACGGTAAAAACTCTTCTACTCTGAATATTACAATATGCCACAGAAAAATCTAATCATTAGCAGCAATTAGGAAAATTTAGTCTAAGTGCAAATAATAAGTGTTACTAAATGGTAGTGAAGGTGAAAGAAAGCAACATTTTCATATTTCCATTATTAAAGACCCTCTTCATATATGTAGGAGGAAAGTTACTTTATTCATATGTATACATAGTCTGAAGATTTTTAGGACATTTAAGTTCAGTGCTCAATTCAGAATTCATTTGCAAGGTCAGCATAGACTTTCATCCAGTCACCAGAGATCCTACTGTGCTCAGTTATTACTAGGCACATCATTTATAATGATAGATAGCACAGACTTTGATCTCTCTTTTTCTTTTTTTTTTTTTGAGTCTCACTCTGTCGCCCAGGCTGAAGTGCAGTGACACGCTCACAGCCACCCCAGTGTCGACCTGCTGGGCTCTGGCAATCCTTCCGTCTCAGCCTTCCAAGAAGCCGGAACTACAGGAACACGCTACCATGCCCGGCTAATTTTTTTTTTATTGTAGTGACGAGGTCTCACCAAGTTGCCTGGGCTGGTCTTGAACCTGCGGGCTCAGGCAGTCCACTCGCCTTAGCCTTCCAAAGTGCTGAGATTACAGTCTGAGCCACTGAGCCCAGCCAACTTTGATCTCGCAAACTTCATTTCTATCGCCAACATTCTAAATTTGTTCACAAGGCTGTCTCACACAGTACTTAAAACTCAGTGTCTAATGATACATTTATCATCTTCTCTTGGCTACTGAAACCTTTTCTTCCAGTCTTCCTTATTTTCCTTTCTATCTTCCTTTTCACAGTCTGCAGTTATCCAAGCCAGACCAGTGGAAGTCCTTCCTTCCCTTTTACCTGCACATCTTGTTAAAGATCAAGTCCTCATCCTAGATTTGTCCTCTTTTTTTTTTCCATAGTAGATTCCCATATCTACTGGTGTTGCCTTTGCTTAAAGTCACTCAGGTTTTCTTATCATCTTCCCCCTGTGCTGTAGGAGTAGTAGCCCTTTGGGGTTCCAACTTTATATAGGACTCCTGTTAGACTCCTGAGGTGGATGCTGTAGTCGTTATCCTTGTCTAATTTGCCCTCATTGCTATCCAAGCAGAAACTTAGGGTTACTGTGTTTTGACTTTGTTAGAGGATGTACTGTAGGAAAGCCTGTGGCAGTATGTCTTGACATAAGGTGGACTCAGGATTCACTTGCTTTCTGTCCAGTTTTCCCACTTGTTTAATTTCTGGCCTCTGCAGAATCTTTTATTTTCATACCATATCAGCAATATCTTTAAAGATATATTTACTGTTTCATCCAGCTTTTTCAGTTATTTTCATTGGGAATGTCATTCAATCTCTAGTTTACCAGAACTGGAAGTCTTGCCCAGCCTAAAGGGCCGATTACTCTTTAGCTCCTGTTAATTCCATGTGGGATTATTGGCTTGGTGTTGCCAGGTTTTTTTGATTTAAATAAATAAATAAGTAAATTTTAAAAAGCTAAGCTATTTGCCCTTTGAATTCACAAGGGCTTTCTTTTCCCTCTTTTGGGGTCATTGTCTAGAGGCACTCAAAGTGATCCAGTGTTAGACATACTGCCATAGGCTTTCCTACAGTACATCCTCTAGCAAAACTAGGTTGTCCCAAATCCCTGATAATAGAATTGTTTACCTTTGTATGAAAAAGGCTGAGAGAGCACGGATAACCTGCATGTGGTATGTGCCCAGGCAAACTTCAAGGGGTTCATGCTGTGAGACCTACAGTTCTTGAGGTTCTAAACAAAAAAAATACATGTCAGCAGAGCCTATGGTGATTTCACATGTGCTAAAGGTGTTTGTAACAGGATCAAGCATGCTTTCTTTATCAAAGAGCAAAAATTGTTGTGAAAGTGTTGAAGGTACAAGCACAGTAAGAAAGGTAAATTTTAAAATTTTACAAACATTTTAGAATGAAGTTTTTTGAGTAATAAAAATTAAAAGACTTTTAAAAAGCTAGGAATCTCTTTGCTTTTTTAATTCTTATTTTTAAATATTGTCAACAAATTTATTTCTTGAAAATGAGTGAGTCGCTGGGTGTGGTGGCTCACACCTATAATCCCAGCACTTTGGGAGGCGGAGACAAGAGAATTGCCTGAGCCCAGGGGTTTGAGACCAGCCTGGGCAACCTGCAAGACCTCCTCTCTACAGTAAATCCAAAAATTAGCTGGCCATGGTGGCACACACCATGTGGGATTATTGGCTTAGTGTTGCCAGGTCTTTTGATTTAAATGAATAGTTCCAGCTACTTGGAAGGCTGAGGCAGAAGGATCCCTGAGCACAGCAGGTTGGGGGTACAGTAACCGTGATGGTGCCACTACACTTCAGCCTGGGTCACAGAGTGAGACTCCAACTCCAACTCCAAAAAAAAAAAAAGAATGGGTCATGGACTAATGGTGAGTGAAAGAACCCAGGACGAAAAGAATACCATGTATATACGAAGTTTGAAAAATAATAATAAGGGCAAGCTAATCTGTGGTCTTGAGTTGGAACAGTGGCCATCTTTAGGGGTGTGTTGACTAGGAGGAGGCATAAAGAAGAACCTTCTAGGTGTTGGCAATGTTCCACATAATGAATGTTACATAGACATATGTAAAAATCATTTAAGCTGTACGCTTAGGTTTTTGCACCTTATTGTTTGTAAGTTATAACTCAATTAGAGTGATTTTTTTTAATGCAGGCAAAACTATAGTCTGTCAGTTTTCAACCTCTTAAATATATTCTTTTTTTTTTCCCGAGTTTGGGTCTCACTCTGTCACCCAGGCTGGAGTATAGTAACATGGTCACCAAAGCCTCGACCTCCTGGGTTCAAGTGATCCTCCTGTCTCAGCCTCCTGAGTAGCTGGGACTATAGGTGCATGCCACTACGCCCAACTAATTTTTAAATTTTTGTAGAGATGGGGTCTTGCTATGTTGCCCAGGCTCGTCTTAAACTCATGTACTCAAGCAATCCTCTTGCTTCGGTCTCCCAGAGTGCTGGGATTACAGGCATAAGCCACCACACCCATCCTGCTTTTATGTTTATTACTAGTAGTGTTTTTTTCTGTAGTTTGCTAAGAAGTACAGAGCCATATTTGGGACCACTCTCCAGCACAGAGCATAGGACCTTACAGGACATATTTTAAATAGTAATCTTATCCACAAATTAATTAGAAGTATACATCTGTCATCATTTAGCAAGCAGAATAAACTCTTCCTGATACATTTTTAAGCTTGAAATTATTTATTGCATGCATATTTTTGGAAAATAGTTGAATTATGGCACCTTTACTATTTACATTTAAGTTAAAAAAATTATTCCTGATAATAAAATGATTGAGTCAAAAAGCATTGTTGCAAATACTGTTAAATTGTAAATACTGGAGAAAATAAAATTGCACTTTTAACTAGTGGTTAAAGCAGTTACTGCAGATAAAGATAGAACAGTTGCCTGGTATGTAATAGCTGCTGAATAAGTTTTTTTCTTTTTTTCTTCTAGTTTCCTTGGCAATGAAGACACAACAGGTCCCTTCAAAAATTCTTTTTAAAAAATTGTTAAATAAGATCCGAAGCCAAAAATCTCTCTGGACAATTAAATCCATGTCTGAGGATGAAAGTGAAATGATTGCGACTACTGGTGATATTGAGAGCAAAGCACCAACTGTTGAATCAGGAACAATTACCAGTGAAGAGAGAACGTCATCCTCTGGGCAAGAACAAGGTGGTTCTCCAAGGGTCTCATTTTATATAAACCCTTTTTAAATTGTTGAAAAGAAGTGCTGTTCTTGAAAAATCAAATAATAAGGGTCAAAAGGAAGAAAACATAATCCTGCTAGTTAATGGAAATAAGCAAATACTAAAAACCTTAGTGAATCTCCTTCTAGACCACTTTCAATGTAATATATATGTATAAATTCCAGTAATCAGTGAATCAAAATTAACTGGTTTCCTATTTTTGAGACATTTAGGCTGTTATTTTTCTTGTACTGCAGTGGTCAGCCTTATAGTGAAGTCTTGGCTCACTTCTGTAATTATTTCCTTGGGAAGAACTCATGAAAAAATAATTTCTGAGTCAAAGATATGAACATGCTAATGACTTTTGACTGTTTTGTATTTTTTTTTTTACAAACCAGAGATTTGGTTTCTTTATTTCTTAATTTTAAATAACTTTTTTGGTCGATAAATAGGTTACTAAATATATTTCCAGAAGTTACAAAGATCACACCAGTAGTATCTCCTTAAACTAGTATGCAAACAAATGAGAATTGTAAGCATATAACTCCTCTTTAATTTCTTTATTTTTTTTTTCTTAGTTTTATCTTTTGGATTCTTTTCAAGATATTTTTGGATTTGAATGGAAATATTTTGCTTCCAGGCTTTTGAGAAAAGTGACTTACAGTCTGTATTTGGATTTTGGATTTTATCCTAAGTACCACAGGAAGCTTCTTAAAATACTTTCTTCCCTTGGCCTCTTGACACGACTCTCTCTTGGTTATCTTGGTGTTTCCTTATTCATAGTTTCTTTTGCTACCTATCCACATCTCCACAGCCACTAACCATTGTCCCCAGAGCCTCTTCCTCAAGTTCTTTCTCTTCATATCAAAAACTCCCTAGTTGACCTCTAATGTCATAATTTATAATATCTGTATAGTAATGTCTTTCAAGTATGCATTTCTAGGCTTGACTGTTCCTTAGAACTAAACTTATTTTTTTAACTATCTCTTTGACACCTTCCCATGTAACTAATAACATCTTAAACTTGTCCAAAACTGAACTCTTGGTATCTCCCCCACTGTACACCTGCTTTTCCTATCATCTTCCACATTTCAATAGCTGGCAATATTTTCATATTCTTATTCAAACCAAAAAGCTTGAAGTCATTCTGGTTCCCTTCTTTCATATCCTACATCCAAACCATCAACTAATCTAGTTGGTCCTACTCTCAATATATCCAGCGTCCAGTCGTTTCTTACCACCTATATCCTACTTTAAGATGCATTCATTTCCTAGCATAGATTCTTGTAGTAGCCACCTATCGTTAGCCTTTGCACCTCCCTACTATAGTCTGTTCATAGAGTAATCCTCTTAAAAATAAGTAAGCTCATGTCATTCCTCTACATGAAGCCCTCTAATAACTACCAGTTTCACTCAGTAAAAACCAAAGTGCTTTACAGTGGCTTCAAAGCCTTAGATGATCTGCACCCATACATTCCACCACCACTGCCGTCACCCTCATTATTGCTCTGACTTCATTATCTACCATACCTCCCAAGCCACTGCACTATACATGCCAGCTTCCTTGCTATTCCTTAAACAGCAAACATGGTTCATGTGGTCTTTGTAATTGCTGGTCTAACTTCATATATGTACTCAACTATCTCTGTAAGACCTTTTCTATTTAAAACAGTAAGCTTCTAGGCCAGGCGCAGTGACTCATGCTTGTAATCTGAGCACCTTGGGAGTTGGAGGCAAGAGGATTGCCTGAGACCAGGGGTTTGAGACCAGCCTGGGCAAGACAAGGTGGTGAGACCTTGTCTCTACAGTAAATCAAAATATTAGCCAGGTATGTTGGTGCACATCTGTAGTTCCAGGTACTTGGAAGGCTGAGGAGGAGGGATCACGTGAGCCCAGCAGGTCAAGGCTGCGGTGGCCATGAGCCAAAGCAAAACAGCAAACTTCTGTGCTCTCCCAGCCCTTCCCCGACCTCCACCCACTTCCATCCCTATCCCCTTTGTCCTGCTTTTCCCCCGTAGCTCAAATCAATATCTGATGGGCAGCAAATTTCCTTTCTGCTCATTTTGCTTACTGTTTTAAATCCTGCTCTCTCTACCCTACCCTTGAGGGAACGAACTTTGATTTGTACATTGCTAAGTCCCTAGAGACATGACTACTGCCTTGTACAAAACCAGGTGCTCAGTTAATATTTGTTAAACTCATTGAATAGCGCAAAACAATTGAGGTAAGTTTTGCCAAAAAAGGTTAGTGACCTCTGATCTAAGGGATTCTAGCACCCAGAAGAATAGGCTAGAGAAGGGCAAATGGCAAAGGCAGTGGAAGAAGTGGCCAGAGAAGTAGGGGAGAATGTGGTGTTGGAATCCAGATAAGAGGACTCTTTCATATTCAATCTGTAGCCGAGTTCTTTTGATAAAAGTCCTCTATGAGTCGGCCATCTCTATTCTCATCCTTCTTTTTTCTCCCCCTTGCCTGACTGTATCTCATGCACACTGATCTTCTTTCAGCTGCTTGAACGAGCCAGTTTTATTTTTCTTATTTTCATAAAGCCTTTTATACCTGTTCGTCTATCTGGAAATGTCTCCACCTGTACGTCTTCACATTCATTGCCCGACTGGCTCTTCCTTACCTTTCAGGTGTCTGCCTAATTGTCATTTCCTCAGAGAAATCTAAGCCAGGCTCAGTGGCTCAGCCTGTAATCCCGCGCTTTGGGATGCTGAGGTGAGTGGATTGCCTGAGCCCGCCTGGCAACTTGGCAAGACCTCATCTCTACAATAAATCAAAAATCAGCCGGGCGTGGTAGTGCGTGCCTGTAATTCTGGCTACTCGGAAGGCTGAGGCGGGAGGATCACGAGAGCCCAGCAGGTTGAGGCTGCAGTGGCCGGAAGCGGCCACTGCACTCCAGTCTGGGCAACAGAATGAAACTCCAGCTCAAGAAAAAAGAAATCTCATCTTGCCCCCTAATCTGTTATTATCTTTATTTTACTCTATTATATAACACTCTATTGTATTTTCCTTCCATAATACTTATCACCACTTCTAATTTTATAGTTTTTCCTGGGCTGATTATATGGTGGTTCTGTCCTCTCCTCACCCTGTCAAACCTCCTTGATGTCTTTTCTCATTCACCTTGGTGTCCCCAACATCCAGCCCATAAATAGATGCCTGATGAGAAAGTGAAGGGTGCTCCATGCAGAATATGTGGCTGCCCAGATATGATCAGAGTAAAATGCTTTAACTTCCTTCTCTGCTCTGGTTTCACCAATCACAAAAGTCCTATTTTCTAAATATATCTAAGATTCGGTGACATTTCTTTACTGTCTCTTTTTTTTATGCTTTGCTTATTCTACTCCTTTTAGGCTTTTCCATTGTGTTTAAACCTCTGTCAGCATACCTTTTTAATCCGTTCTTCACTTTTTTTCACAATTTTAGTCTTCTGTCTGTCTTGTTATATTAGGTTTGGTTTTAATGAGTAATAGATCTAGTCATCAGGAAGTCCTTATAGACCAAGATTGAATTTGTTAATCGTAATTTTCGTTATTTTACTTTGGTTTAGGCTTGACTATGATTATTTGTTCCTAATAACAGTGGTACTCTCTATTACAGTTGCGGAAAGTGATACACTAACAATTGAGTCTGGACCGCTTACTAGTGAAGATAAATCACTTTTGTGTAGAACAAGCTCTGCAAAAGGTCAAGGTATTTCTATCACATCACAAATTAAATTTGCTTGACCCTTCACATCTTTTTCCTAATAAAATTACATGTAGTAGATGAAGAAAATGAATCATAGTGGTGTCAAAATTATAAGGTACTGAAACTAATTTTTGTTTTGGGGATTGTATTAGAAATAAATGAGACTCTACCAGTCACAACGGTAGCCAAGAGTTCAGTTCTACTTCATCCTCAAGAAGAAGCAGCCAGAATTAGAATGTCAGCAAGACAGAAACAGGTAATTTGAACTTTTATTTTATTTATTGATTTTTTTGAGTCAAAGTCTCACTTTGTTGCCCAGGCTGGCTTGAGTACCATGGCATGATCATGGCTCACCACAGCCTCAACCTCCTTGGCTCAGGTGATCCTTCTGCTTTAGCCTCTTGAGTAGTTGGAGACTACAGGCACACAGCACCACACCTGGCTACTTTTTATATTTTTTTAGAGAGACAAGGTCTTGCTATGTTGCCCAGGCTGTTCTGGAATCTCCTGGGCTAAAGCATTCTTCCTGGTCAGCCTTTCAAAGTGCTAGAATTGCAGGCATGTGTCACCGTATCTGGCTTAAAATTGTATTTTTAAACGTTTCTTTTTTCTCCTAGGTACTACAGTTTTGTTTGAGCAATGAAATTTGTCTTAATGTCTGGCTATTTTTGATATCGTGTTTTCTGCCTTGTCTTATACAAATATTCAGCTGATAAGATGTATTTTGTCTTTGCTCATATACTCATTTGACCCTTACTATGTATACTTTGTATTTTATACTTTTGCATATATCTTTTCTATAAAATGTACTCGTTTTTAGGAAACAAAACTGTTTTCTTTGAAAAATTCAATTTATCCTACATCATTTCTTAAACAATGCTTTGTACAACAAATAAATATTGCTGAATTAACAAGTCCTTATCATGACATTAGACACTCAGATGGGCCTTTTTTTTTTTTTTTTTTTGTTGGAGTCTCACCCAGACTGGAGTGCAGTGGCCGCTCCCGGCCACCGCAGCCTCGACCTGCTGGGCTCCGGCGATCCTTCCAAGTAGCCGGAATTACAGGCGTGCGCTACCACACCCGGCTGATTTTTTGATTTATTGTAGAGATGAGGTCTTACCAAGTTGCCCAGGCGGGTCTTGAACCTGCGGGCTCAGACAATCCACTCACCTCAGCCTCCCAAAGGCGTGGGATTACAGGCTGAGCCACCGAGCCTGGCTTGGATGGGTTTTTTTATCCCAAACGTTTTTCAAAAAATAGTATTTCTGAGGAAAAACTTAAAATTCATCCTTTTAAACTATAATTATAGTCTCATCTACTTTTTTTGTTGTTGAATTGAGGTCTTACTCTGTCACTGAAGTTGGAATGCAGTGGCACAATCACAGCTCACCGCAGCCTCAAACTCCTGGGCTCAAGCTATCCTTCCATCTCAGCCTCCTTAGTAACTGGGACTGCAGGTTTGCACCACCACATCTGGCTAATTTTTTGATTTTCTTATACAGATGAGGTTTCACTATGGTGCCCAGCAGGCTGATCATCTGATTTTTTCCTTTCTTTCTTTTTTTTTTTTTTTGAGTCGAAGTCTCACTCTGTCACCCAGGCTAGAGTACAGTGACACAGTCATGGCTACCTCAGCCTTGCCCTGTTGTGCTTAGGCAGCCCTTCTGCGTCAGCCTTCCAAATAGCTGGAACTACAGGCATGAGCCACCATGCCTGGCTAATTTTTTTATTTATTGTAGAGATGAGGTCTTGCCAATTTGCCCAGGCTGGTCTCGAACCTCTGGGCTTAGGCAATCCTTTCGCCTCCACCTTCTAAAGTGCTGGGATTTACAGATGTAAGCCACTGCGCTTAGCTGGTCATCTACTTATAATAGAAGATTTTTTTAAACCCAGATTACCTTGAAGAATGCTGATTATTACTAAGCCAGTTGTTTATTTTCCAGTTATTTTTTTAAAAAAAATATAGCTGGGAGTGAGAATTCTGTGAACCAGTATTTCTCAGACAGATGTTTTCTAATCAGTGGTCTATATTAGTATTGTTCAATAGAACTTTCTGTGATGATGGAAATGTTCTACTTAAAATGTTGCTAGTGTAACTGAGGAGCTGAATATTTTAATTAGTTTAAAATTTTTTTTTTTTTTTTGAGTTGGAGTCTCACTCTGTCACCCAGACTGGAGTGCAGTGGCCGCGCCCGGCCACCGCAACCTCGACCTGCTGGACTCTGGCGATCCTTCCGCCTCAGCCTTCCAAGTAGCCGGAATTACAGGCGCATGCTACCACGCCCAGCTAGTTTTTTGATTTATTGTAGAGATGAGGTCTCGCTGCCCAGGCGGGTCTTGAACCCGCGGGCTCAGGCAATCCACTCATCTCAGCCTCCCAAAGGCGCGGGATTACAGGCTGAGCCACCGAGCCCGGCTTTTAATTAGTTTAAATTTAAGTAGTCGTATGTAGCTACTGACTGGTACACAGCTCTGGCTGTGCTACAGAACTGTAAGCAATCTAAATTCAGTGTCTCCTATGGGTGAGGGAGGTAAGGAAGACAGGAAGTCAGCTGAAGGCACTGCTGCCTGATTAGGATTAGGTAAAGAATCAGGTTGAGCCATTTTTAAAATTTTGTATGCAAGATGATTTTTCATTCTCTCTAGGAGAAGTGCTCCTCTTTATAATTTCACAGGCATTCCTTTTTCTCCTTATTCAATAAGTGTTTATCTTTCCGGGGTTGTACTGTAGTCCCTACTTATCCACGGAATGTGTGTTCCAGTTCCCCCAGTGGATGCCTGATTTCTTTTTCCATCTCTACGATTTCACAGATAGAAGATTTGCTCTTACCATAGATTTTAGCAACCAGAATAGTTTTTTTTTCCTTTCCTTATTGAGGACTTCCATGCATCTGCTAAAAGGAAGCACTTTACAGCTTCTCTTTGACATGTCCACTTTGCCAGTATCACTACTCTTGCACTTCGGAGCCCTTGTGAAGTAGAATAAGGGTTATCTGCACAGTAGCACTGCGATACTGTGACAGGCAAGTTCATAACCCAGGTGGCTACTAAATGACTAAAGCGGATGGAATTTACAGTGTGGGTATGCTAGAGAAAAGGCTGATTCACAACCAGTCGGTAGAGAGCAGGACAGTGAGATTTCATCGCACTGCTCCGGATAGTATACAGTTTAAAACTTACAGATTGTTATTTCTGGAATTATTCATTTAATACTTTTTGGCTGCTGTTGACCTTGAGTAACAGAAACTGAAGAAAGCTAAATCTCAGGTTGGAGGGAACTAAGGTGGAAACTGAGATTCTGGGCTTGGCAGGCTAGTTCTGGTCCTCATGAAACTTGTATATATGCTTGTATGATATTAGAATATATGTCATCCTTCTGCCATTTCCTTCTTTTTCATGCTTGACAGAAAAGACATAGAATGTTGTTCATGGTGTTATTTGGCTTCAAGATAACTATACCTTGAACGTACCAGGTCATAAAATGGATGTACCAGGATGTACATCCTGGATGTACCAGGACATAAAAGTTTTTAATTTCTCTAATCATTATTCGTACTGGGACCAATGTAAAATTAAAGATGTGAGCATAGAATTTGGCTGTATATCATTATCTACTTCTCTGGAGGTGATGTTTCAGTGGTGATCATGGATGGTTTCCCTGTACTTCCAGAAAATAGAAATAATTAATGTGTTTATTCTTTTCATTTTGCCTCTTTTGAGTTATCTTCCTTTTTCTCTTTTCCCCTTTAACTATCTCACTCCCATTTTCTCTCTGTGGCAGTAACAGAGATAAAGCATCACCACCATTTGCTTGGAAAATTGGCACACTTGATGATGAGACCTATGTTTGTGGGTTTTTTTGTTTTGTTCTGTTTTGTTTTGTTTTTGAGTTGAGGTCTCAATTTTGCCCAGGCTGGGGTGCAGTGGCATGATCACAGCTCACTGCAGCCTTGAACACTTGGTCTCAGGTGATCCTACTACCTCAGCCTCCCAAGTAGCTGGGGCTAAAGGTTTGTGCCACCACACCTGACTAATTAAAAAAAAAATTTTTGTAGACATGAGGTCTTGTTATGTTGCTTAGGCTGGTCTTGAACTCCTGGCCTCAGGCTGTTCTCCCACCTCAGCCTCCAAAAGTACTGGAATTGCAAGTGTAAGCCGCCACACCCAGCCTGTTTCTTTTTAGTGTAATGCACATTATAAGCTTTTCTTTTGTATAAGTTTGTTGTTAATAGACTAATAGTATTTTTGTTACCTAGATAATAGAAATAGAAGAGCAGAAGCAAAAGCAGTTGAAATTACTTGAACAAATAGAACAACAGAAATTAAAATTAGAAACTGACTGCTTCAGGGCTCAACTGGAAGAAGAAAAAAGAAAAAAATCTCAACAGACTGAGGTAGGCTGCAGGAAATCACATCACAGTGTAAATGATTGGGGGTCAAGAAAATATGAGCAATCGTAGCATTTAGAAAAGTGAAATGCCTTTCTAATTCTTATCTGGTCATTTTTTTTTCTTTTTTCTAAATATTTTTTATTATGATGTTGTGGGGTACAGTTAAGGGTTAGGTATACAATTACATTCCATTCAGGCACTCTGTTGATAAGGTGTTTCCCTTTCCCCAGACAGATATTTGCTACTGTTATTCCCATCTCCCCCCCCCCATAGTTTCCCAGTACCGTCATTCATTTTCTTATAGTATTACATTGAATGTTCACGGTCCATTATATGAGTGAAAACATGTGATACTCAGATCTTTGTTTCTGTGAGAGGTCACTCAGTATTATAGACTCTAGTTCCATTCAGGTTGCTGAGAAATTCATGATTTTGTTCTTTTTTATGGCTGCGTAGTATTCCATTGTGTATATGTACCACATTTTTTTAATCCAGTCCTCTTTTGATGGGCAGCACGTGTGTATATGTGTGTGTGTGTTTATGTGAGAATATGTTTGCATCAACCTAATGGCTTTATCTTTCAGTTTCTACAGGATGTCCATGCATATGACCATGGTTTCATGTAATATGTTGTGTTAGGCTTTTGGACATTGGTACTAAAGGAGCTTGGTGGATTGCTTCATCTCTTACTAATGGAAATGCTGGTCTTTTTATTAAAAATAAAGCTATATGGAAGTTTACAGTTATAGAACTTTAGTTTTTTTTAAAAAATGCTCCAGTACTTGTTTCTGAATTTGCATTTTAATTAGTGTCTTTGTCCTTTTTTTAGGTTAGCATTGCTCCAGCATCATATGCAATAGTTTCTGATGAAGACAGTCACAGGCAGATGATTCATAACTATCAACACCGGCTTTTACAGCAAAACAGGTATTCGCTAGGGTATAGTTTATATGTGATAGTGTGTGGCTGCGTTTTTAGGATTTATTATTTGGTTTAATGTGAGGATCTAATTTGGATTCTCTTAGAACTGTCACCTATAGAACTGTGCCCTTCTCAAGAGGCAATGTGAGTGTTATTTCTTTTTACCATGATTATGGCCAACCCTAGATTGCTGTTTGCTAAATTTAAATTATAGACATTTGAGAATGAGGTGCTTTTTTTTTTCATAAAAAAGAATAATATTTGTTTTTGTGTGTTTTTTGTTTTGTTTTGTTTTTGGTAGGTCACATAGGCAGTCTGTTGAACTAGCCAAGAAACGATTACTCGAATATCAAGTTATGTTAAAAGGAAGGTACCCATCCATGTCAGCTTCATCATTGATATCTGATTCTGTTATATCAGTACCACCGCAGAAATTGGAGAGACCCACTGCCATATCAAAGCATTGGAGTCAAGGTCAGAAAAAGAAGTTGGATCCTGACAAATATCAACTCATACAACCTACACAGATCTCTAGATTAGAACAAGATCATTTTCAGGTATCAAGACAAAATCACTTTCCACGGAGACAGGTAGAAACAACAGAAACATTAGGCACTTCAGATGTCTTAGCTAAGCAATCTTTAGAATCACAAAAACATCTAAAACAATTCTCACAGACTGGAACACAACAGAGAGACTATATATCAGTACCTAAAAATTCTCAGACACTATCAACGGCTTTGTCACATGACAGGCCACTGGTATTACAGGATGCTAGAAAAATGTCTGAAACATTAAGGGCAACAATGTTTCAAACTTTAGATTCCCAGCAAATGTTCTCAGAGACTAGTAAAAGAATATCTTCTGAGCTAACTGAACCTTCTTCGTTCCTACCACTGGCACCTCAGTGTTCTTTTAGTTCGCTGCCCCTTAAAGGTGAATCTGGAAAGATCCAGGAACTCCTTTCAGCCGCAAGCAAAGGTGCAGTTTCCACAAGCCATTCTGTAGTCAGCCAGATGCATGCTAGGCCTTTGCCATCCTCAGAGAATATCACAGCCCAGCAAGTTAGTTTGAAGACCCTCCATGAACAATTAGACCTACAGAAGGAAGTTCTTCAATTAAGACAGAAAGCTCAAGAACAATTGCTTTTGTGCAAACAGAAAGAATTGGAACAACACACTGGCCTCTCTGTTTTCCCTCCATTAGTAGCTTCAGGTTCATCTGCTTTACTGCCTTCTGCCATAGCTGAATTGGGGAGAATCCAGGAATCTTCACCAGCGAAGAATAGTACTGCATTTTCCTCAGATCATCCTATGGACCCACAACTTCATGATAGGCGTTTGAGTTGCGCACAGTCTATCTTATTGCAGCCAAGTAATGTTAAATTTCTCCAAGAGCATTTGACTGTTCAGAGAGATAACTTTCAGGCTAGACGGGAAGCCCAGGAAGTATTATGTGTACATAAACAGAGTGAATTGGATGGAAGAGTATATTCTGAACAGGTATATCCATCTAAGAGTGAGAAAGGAATTCTCTCAAGCCAGTCTGAAATCCCAAAATCGCAGGATGGGTCTCCAAGTTTCCTACAGCAGTTCCTGCCTCTACATGACAGTCTGAAGTTGCTCCGAGAACAGCTGACTACACAGAGGGATGCCCTTCAGGCTAGGCATGAAGCTCAGATGCAACTACTTTTGCATAGACAAAGGGATTTGGGGGACAGTAAGTCTGGGCAGGTGAGCTTTTCATCTGAGAATGAGAATACAATTTCCTCTCGTCATTTAGTAATCCCAGCATATCAGGAGAAGTCTTTTAGTTCTCCACAGCACAGCCTGCCACAGCAGGAAAAGAGAATAATACTCCAAGAACAGTCACACACACACAGGGTAATACTTGGTACTGAAGAAGCAGCTCAGGAATTTATACACAAACAAAGTGAGTTGGAAAACAGAGTTTCTTCTGAACAGACTGGCACCTCTTCATCCCTATCCCAGATAGATGAGTCTGAGAAGTTCCAGGAATGTATGCCAATCATGAGTGATAGCACCAAGCCCACAAGCCATTCTGAGATCCCAGTATTTCAGGAAAGACTTTTGAAATTTTCACAACATACACTACCTCTACAAGACAATTTGGAAGAACATCAAAATTGGCTAGACACAGAGAGAGAAGCCTCTCGTTACAACCAGAAAACCCAAGAAAATACATCTTCTGAACAAACTGGCTCGCTTTCATTCATGCCCCAGTTAGTACAGCTTTCATCTACTTCATTACCTTCGGCTGAGTCTGGTACAACCCAGGAATCTCTTTCAACAGAGGGTGATAAGAGAGTTTCTTCAAGCCATTTTCAGATCCCACAACTGCAGGAGAGACTTTTGAGGATATCACAACTTATCCAGCCTCAACAAGATAACTTGAAGGCACTTCAAGAGCAGTTAACTACACAGAGGGAAGCCATCATTCAATCTAGACAGGACGCTCAGGAAGAATTACCTTTATATAAACAGAGCGAATGGAAGGGAAGAGTATCCCCTGAGCAGGTTGGCACCTCTTTCTTACCCCTAGTAGCACAGCATTCATTTGCTTCATTGCCTCTTACTGAATCTGAAGGAATTCAAGAACCTTGTCCAACTAACACAGTTTCCCCAAGTCACTCTGAGATACCAAGATTGCCTGATAGGCTGTTGAGTTCATCACATCCTGTTTTACCTCAACAAGATCATTTGATTGCACTTCCAGAACACTTGAATTCACAGACAGATTCCCTTCCTTCTATTGAGAACACCCAGAAAGAATCAGTTTTGCCAAGGCCATGTAAGTTTGAGGAAGAGGTATCTCCTGAGCATTTTATTCAGCCTCACCATGGTGATTTGCAGGCACTTCAACAGCAATTAGATGTACAAAGGAACGCCATTCGATCTAGACAAGAAGTCCAAGAAGAATTGCTTTTGCAAAGATTGAGCAAATTGGAGAAAAGCCTATCATCTGAGCAGACCAATTCCTCTGCATTCACATCCCAGGTAGCACTGCCTGTTGCTGACTCTAAAAGAACTCAAAAGTCTTTGCCAATGAAAAGTAGTGATACTATTTCCTCAGGTCATCCTGAGATTCCAGAATCACAGGGTAGACTTTTGAGTTTATCACAGTCTATTCTGCCTCAGCAGGATCATTTGGCAGCACAATTAGACTTACAAAGAGAAGTGGTATATTCTTGTGAGAAGCCTCAGAAAGAACTGTTTTTAAACAAGCACAGTAAGTTGAACAAGAGTGAATCTGCTGAGCATGCTATTCCCTCTTTGTTTTTATCCATGGAAACAGATCATTCATTTATTCCATTACCTTTTGCTGAAGCTGAATCTGAAAGCACTTATAAATTATATTCATCCCAGAATGAATCTGCAGCTCCCTCAAGTGATTCTGTGATCCTGAGATTTCAAAATAGACTTGTGAGTTTTTCACAGCCTATCTTAGCTCAACAAGATAACTCAGGACTTCAGAAGCAGTTGGATTTTCAAAGAGAAGTTCTGCATTACAGCCAGAAAGCCCAAGAAGAGTTGGTTGTACAGAGACAAACAGCATTGCAGCAGCAAATACAGAAACATCAAGAGACTTTGAAGGATTTCTTTAAGGACAATCAGGTATGTCTTAAACTTGAATATCTAAGAACTAAGCAATGGAGGTTTAAACCCAACTCAGTTTTAATCCCAGGCTTATAAGTTTTTAGTTAATAGAATAAGTAATTTGACTTTAACTGTGCTTTAATTTCCTACCCTAAACAATGTGGAAATTAAAAATAAAAATTGACCTACCTCACATGGTATTTATGAGGTTAGTAGTTATTTAAAACCCAACTAATTTCAAATGCAAACACATCACAAAAGAAAGTAGATTCTCATTTTGGAGTTTTATTATTATGGGTTTTATACTTACCATAAGATTAAAATTACAAAAATAACTGACTGGCAGAATTTATCTTATGCACTGGCAGACACTTATGCTCTTCATGTATAGCTCTTTGTTGACACTTATATATATGAGTCAATGTCAGTACCACCCTTTCTCTTTTTTTTTTTTTTGAGTTGGAGTCTCTCTCTGTCACCCAGGCTGGAATGAGTGTCATGCTCATGGCCTCTGCAGCCTCGACCTGCTGAACTCAGGTGATTCTTCCACCTCAGCTTTCAAGTAGCTGGAACTACAGGCGCGCACTACCATGCCCAGCTTATTTTTTGATTTATTGCAGAGACAAGGTCTCACCAAGTTGCCCAGGCTTGAACCCCTGAGCTCAGACAAACCTCTCACCTCGACCTCCCATAGTGCTTGGATTACAGGCTTGAGCCACCGCGCCTGGCCCTGCACCCTTTCTCTTAAGTGACATTATCACTGGCTTGATTTTAGGCTGATGAAGAATCCAGGACCCCCTGCTAGTATCTGAATTGTTGAGAAGACTCTGGCATAGTTATTCAGGCATTTGTAGTCTCTCTACGTGGAAGACAAGAGTGTGTTCTAAATTTGAATATATTCATTTTATTTTAAAAGGCCTCTTTCCTATTACTTAGCCTAAACAGAATTCTATAGATCCTTTGATGTTCAGGAGAAGCTTGAGTTGAGTTCAGGAAGAGTTGAGTTCTAGGGATTTACTGGTCATTTGAAGGAAAAGTAATGGCAAAAGAAAAGCAGAGGGAAATGCTCAAGTATAATTTCTTATGAAAAGGTGCAGTGGAGGCTATGTTTTGAGGTCCAGGGCCGTGAATGGTTATACTTTTCAATGGAAATACTATCCTTTCAATATTGGAAGCCTATCTCATTTTTAATCTGTAGATAAAATTGTAAAGTAGATTGATGGTACTATTTATTTGATGTTCTGATTTGAAAAGGGAGACATAAATCTAATGATGAATTCTTCACATGATCCCTCAACTTGTATCATCCCCACCTTCATCTCTACTTTTTCAGATAAGTAAGTTCACAGTTCAGAATGATTTAAAATCCCATAAGATGGGGCAGCTCAGAGAGTGGCTTCCTCATATACAAGACTTTGCAAGAGATGATCAGGAAAATATTAGTCATACAGATAGGAGCAACTCTGATGATGATCAGCTGGCATCAGAAGATGTTAGTGCCAAGCAAAGTGGTAAGATAATTATAGTTTTGCTTTCTGCAGCTTGCTGGTTGAATAAAAGTGTATAGTATGTTAATAGATTTTTATTGTCCCTTTGTCTTTGACTTGATAGGTGAACATCTGGACAAAGAATTGGGTAGAAGATCCTCAAAGCCACCTGTAGCAAAAGTTAAATGTGGTTTGGACTTAAACCAACATGAACTTAGTGCTATACTAGAAGTAGACTCACCAGCAGGTGGCAGAACCTCTTTACTAGGTAAACAGATGGTTTGATAAAATAAGACTCTTTCAATAATTTGCCAATTTTCTACATTTTTTCAGGATGCTAATTTTTTTGTTGTTGTTAACGAAACTTAAATAACCTGAACATGGTGGCACATGCCCTATAGTCCCAGCTACTTGGGAGGCTGAGGTGGATGGATTACCTGAGCCCGGAGGTCAAGAATGTGGTGAGCCATGATCATGCCACTGTACTCCAGCCAGGGCAACAGAGTGAGACCCCAACTCAAAAAAAAAAAAAACCGAGAGAGAATCTTAGGCTGTGATTGTTCATGAAAGGAAAAAAAAATGGTTGTGTAAACAGTATTTAAAATTTGAACTTAAAGAAATGTGACATTAGGTAACCGTGTAGTTGCTTTATCTTATGTGTATGGGGGAAACCAGTTTATTTTAAACAAAAATTTTTTAATGTTCCATATTCAGACATTCTTGCTTCTTTTCATGTCTACCTTCTAAACCTTTTTCTTTAGGGTTAACTCAGATTTTTTTCTCTTTTTTCTTGCCACTTTTCTATTTTCCTTTTTTTTTTTGAGTTGGAGTCTCTCTCTGTAGCCCAGACTAGAGTACAATGGCCGCTCCCAGCCACCGCAGCCTCGACCTGCTGGGCTCCGGCGATCCTTCTGCCTCAGCCTTCCAAGTAGCTGGAACTACAGGCGCGTGCTACCACACCCGGCTAATTTTTTTATTTATTGTAGAGATGAGGTCTCGCCAAGTTGCCCAGGCGGGTCTCGAACCCGAGGGCTCAGGCAATCCTCTTACCTCAGCCTCCCAAAGCGCAGGATTACAGGCTGAGCCACCGAGCCTGGCTACTTTTCCATTTTCATGCCTTCACTGCTCTTGTATCTTTTTTTTTTTAAGTCAGGGTCTAACTTTCATCCAACTGAATTGCAGAGGATCGATCATGGCTCATCACATCAAGCTATCCTCCACATCAGCCTCCCTAGTAGCTGATACTACAGGTGTGCTCCATCATACCCAGCTAATTTTTGCGTTTTTTTTATAGAGACAAGTTCTCACTATGTTGCCTAGGCTGGTCTCAAACTGCTGAGCTCAAGCAATCTCCCTACCTCAGCCTCCCAAGATGCTGGGATATAAGGTGTGATCCACTGCACTTGGCTGCTTTTCTTGTATCTTTTATGTGATTATTATGTTTAAATCCTGGCTTTATGGAATTTAGAACAGTTATATTTCTGTACTGTACTTGTCTACAACCATATACCCAAAAAATTTCCTCCCTATGACTCTTACTAAATAGTTGTATTTGAATTTTATAATTATTTTCAGATTTCAGACTCACCAAATAATTTTTTAAATCAAAGTTATCCAAGCTAATCCTTTTTTAAGGGGGAAAATGTGCTTTGTCAATAGAAGTTGTAATGTTAATATTAGCCAGTTTTACTTGGAAGGTTGAAGTGGGAGGATCACTTAAGCCCAGGAGTTCAAGGTTACAGTGAGCTATGATTGTGCCTGAGTGACAGAGTGAGACCCCATCTCCATAGTTATAAATTTATAAAAATACATATTAGCTATTTTGATCTTCAGCTATAAAATATTATACCTGTGTTTATGAATGTTTGAAAGAATTAAGGAAGCTAGATAGCCCCATTCTGCCTTCTTATTATGTCTAAGTGAACTTGTAAAATAATAATTTTATTTATTATGCGACTTTGGAAGCTTTTCTCCCATTTTATACTATTTGACAGACTTCAGCTATTCAAAAATTGATTGGTGCTTTCCCTAATTCAGAATGAGCATTGGAAAATTCTCGTTATAACTTATTGAATCATGTTTGAGATGGGAGAAATGTATTATCTGAAAGGGAAATCTGTGTATTTCCTTGCCTTCACCTCCTTATCCTCTAGCCTGCATTTTTCAGTAAATAAAACCCAGATGTCAAGTCTTGGACTTTCCTTTTTCTTTTTTTTTTTTTGAGTCACTTTGTCACTCAGGCTGGAGTGCAGTGGCACACTCACGGCCACTGCAGCCCCCACCTGCTGTACTCAAGTGAGACTTCCACCTCAGCCTTCCAAGTAGCTGGAACTACAGGCATGTACCACCACGCCTGGCTAATTTTTTTTTTTTTTTTTTATTAATTGTAGAGACGAGGTCTCACCAATTTAGCCAGGCTGGTCTCAAACCCCTGGACTTAGGCAATCCTCTCGTCTTGGCCTCTCAAAGTGCTAGGATGACAGGCTTGAGCCGCCATGCCTGGCTGGCCCTTCCTTTATCTATACCTCCCTAACATCCCATATATCACCAGATCATCCTAGTTCTACTTTGTGAACTTTTGAGTTCCCACTACCACTCATGTAAAACAGGCTACTGTTTTTTTCTTGGATAGCTGCTACAACTTGCATTGTCCCCCTTTCCCGTGGCATATTCAGAGTAATCTCTCTGTTTCCCCATTTAAAACTCTGTAGTGGTTTAAGTCTGAGAATCAGTCTTAGCAAGTCAAAGTCCCTAGCTTCACCACCAGGCCCTCATGATCTTGCTTCTCTCTTTAGAACTTGGCGTAGGGGCACTTGTCTGATACGCCCATTCAAGTATCCTTCTCATGTTATCTTGGGAACCCTCATCATAGCCTTTATCATATCATTCATTCTTTGGGGGATTATCATATCATTCTTTGGGGGACACTTTTCATCAAAATATGACGTTAAAATAGTTTAAGAAGGCAAATAATGCTAAAATATTATAATGTGAAACAGCAGTTCTTCCTGCCCCCACCCACCCCCTTAATCCCAGTCACCAGAGGGAGTCACTTTTCAAGACTTTTAGCTGTTCTTGTTTTTACTCCATAGTTACAATGGTTTTACACAAAAATCAAGCTAAATTATCATCATAGTGAAAGATAGATATTTTTCACTGCTTAGTCAGTTAGTATATACTATGATTATATTTGCTTTTTTGTAAACCTTTTTTTTCTCTGTGGTAACTTGTCCCTTTTATTTCATTGCTTCAAGTTTCTATAGAGTGTCTATCTTCCTACAGTCACTACTATTTCTATTAAATACCTCCATAATTTTTCATGTTGTGCATACTTTTTTCTCTTCTGTGGAACACCTTTTAGTTGGAAGCTGGAGGGCCCATACTACACATTTTTAACAAGAATGTTATGTTTCCCAAGGGAGCATAAATTGGTTCTTGAAGAGATGAAAAAAAAAATCTTACTCTTTTTGAGTACAAAGCACACATATACATAAACAGATATACAGAGTATATTTGTGGTTATTAAATTTTCATGAAAGTAGAGGCAATTGGGAAAAGAACGTCTAAAAAGACTCCTTGGAGGAGTGATGATTAAAATAAGGTTGAGAAACACTAAGCTATATTGATCTTCCAACTTTCTTTTCTTCTCTTCCCTATAGTTCATTCTGTCTTCTTTTGATTTTGCTTTCCAGGTAAATTTTCTTAACTTTGTCTTCTAATTTTATTTTTCTTTTTTAGATTGGAAAATATAGTTTATTTAGAAAGTAAATTGGAGAGAGATAAGAGATTCTTATCTCTCCCAAGGTAGGGGAGGAAACCAAAGCTAAGAAAACATGGTGGCCATAGCTCAAGAACCACCTTGCCTGCCCAAAGCTCAGCAAAACAATGGCAAATGACTGTTTGAAGTTGAATGCGCTTTTTTCTTTGATTCGGAGTCTTACTCTGTCATCCAGGCTAAAGTGCAGTGGCCTGATTATGACCACTGCAGCCTCAACCTACTGGGCTCAGGTGATCCTTCCACCTCAGCCATCTAAGTAGCTGGAAATACGGGTGCACATATTGTAGAGACAAGGCCTCACCAAGTTGCCTAGGCTGGTCTTGAGCCCTTGGGCTCAGGCAATCCTCTCACCCCCACCTCCCAAAGTGCTGGGATTATAGGAGTGAACCACTGTGCCTGACTGAAGTTGAATGCTTTTAAACCTTCCCTTTGATGGGGAGACAGGTTGTTAAGGTGATTGGATGGTGGTCTCCTTCATATCATGAAGGGAACAACTCAGTACAGGTACTGATATCAGGTGATAGACAGCAGACAGATGGGTGGGTCAGTCACATGACTGCTGCCATATTGATGGGGTCTATGTCATAAAGGTCATGAGGGGCTGAAAGACGGTGGCGCACAGTGAGACTCAACACCCGTTAAGGCCAAGAGATTTAATGAGTCGAACGTGGTGGGCTACAGGACCTGAGGGTCAGGCTGTAGCCCCGAGGCAAGGGCGCGACGGCCTTTATAGGGGCTTAGGGCGACCTGTCTGTCGTCTATAGGTTGGCTGGCAGAGCTTCATGTAGGCTGGTGGATTTTTCACGGGCGCGGGAAAGGGTGCGGAGGGAGAATAAAGGAAGGCACTGAGGAAGAACAAAGGAAGGCACCGTTTCAATCGCCATTTTAGTTTGCCGTGTCGCCGTTTCCAGGAAAGGGAGGGGATGTGGCTTTACTTGTGGCTTGGCGGTGGCCCTTCATTCCCACCTCTGGTTATACGGGAGAGGGGCAGCGTTTGTCTGTCTGGCTACTTCCTGCTGAAAATGGGCATCGGTGGGTGAGGTGGGTGAAAGGACAAGCCACATGAGACCCCACAAGTAGGCGCCAAAAGAAAAAATTTCATTTGAGTGGAAGTCCTGCAAGGTGGAAAACAGCAAACTGGTCCGGCCAGTAGTCAAGTGGACACAGGAAAGGGAGGAGCCAACTGTCATGAAGAAGGTGGTCAAGAAACACTGAGAATCTGAGTGGTAGGTAGTAGGGGGTAAACTTTAAGGCAAGCATGTCTGAAATGAGAAGATAAGGTTAGAGGTTTGTAGGGTTGGGATAGTCGAGACCTGGATCTTCAGTGGGCAGGAGGTCATAATTTTGTAGGAGAAGCTGATTAATGCTTTGATTAGAGATTTTTAAAAGTTGTGACTAGAGAAACTTGATACAAGGGAGAAAGGAGCACAGGCCGAAAATGAGAATGACAGGTGTGACGATAGGCAAAAGCCAGGTGAGGAGGGAGTTTTGTAGTAGGCTGCCGTCT